GTTTTCCACCTCCACTGATTGAAACTGTTCTCATTGTAAATCATGAGGAAAAGGAAAAGAAATCTGTTTAGAAATTCCGACAATATTTCTCATTAGCGTTAATCTTCATTTTTGCAATGTCTTCATGAAATCAGTAACAAATTTGAAGAACAATAACAGGACTGGGTAAATTAGTGTATAATAATAATAATAATAATAATAATAATAATAATAATAATAATAATAATGAGGAGGAGGAGGAGGAGAAGGAGGAGGAGGAGAAAAATAATTTTAAATTTATTAAAAAATGAACTAAAAAAAAACACGCCAGGATATCGGGCGGGAATTAAGAAAGCTATTTAAGACGAACGTGAGGGCCATGCCTAATATAACTAACGCACAAGGAAATCAAAAGTGTTTCTAGTGGATGAACTGTTGATTGAATTAATGAAGCAGACTGTTCATATGGCGGCTCTAATGTGATCTTTGAGGATTCTGAGAAAGCTAATGAAGATTTGAAGAGAATGGTCTTACGGAAATTCTCGTGAACACCAAAAGACAATGTGTGAACAGGAAGATGCACTGAACAACAACGACAACAACAACAATCACAACAACAAAAATAATACTTATCATTTTTAATGAAATAGAAAAAAAAAATTTCATAATGAGTCCTATACACATATTTGCGAAAAAAATTAATCTAATAATCATATTAAGTCCCTAAGAAAAATCTTCAAACATCTAACATCTCTGGTAAAACAACAATGTCAAATAAATAATAATAATAGCTGAAAGAAAATATGGCAAATATATATATACTAGAACATCAGCAGTGCATTGAATGATCTCGAAAAAATGTGAACTGAAAGATCACATTCTGAAATTGCCAAGAGTCTATTTATATTCCGATTTACGGATTGACGCAAGTACCAGAAATTGCAGGTGGAAGGTATTAACGTCCCCTAAGGACAATGCAGTTACTGGCCACGATTCATTAATGATCATGATCAGAGATATATTCCGAGCATTGTTTGTGATAACAGCACTTATTAAAATTACATACATTATTATATCCGTTGTGTCATGCTTCCAATATTTCCGGGTTGATACTCGGGTATTGTGTGGATCCTCTGACACCTAAGACCGAGTTACTTCGATGGCTAGTGTTCATTTCATAACAGTATAACTTGTGTTCACATGACATGAGTTTCAACGTTTTTCTGCTTAAAAACGACGTTGTCCGTTGACCGCTATTTTACATTTTTTTTTTTTGTTTTTTTTTTTTAACATGGAATCTATTCATGTTTCTGCAACAATGATAGATTATTCCTGGACGATAATGCACTGTGTCATGAGGTTCGAATATCTAGAATTGCTTTGGAGAACACTGCGAAGATTTCTGACAAATGGTTTGGTCGCAACGCTCAAACAAGACGAGACAAATCGATAATCACTAAAGGAATATAAAAAAAAGATCGAAAAACAATAGTACGAAATGGATGAAGATCGAACACGGTGAAAAAAGGAATAGAGAAATGAAACTAGTTATAGAACAAAAATAAAAATATGAAGTTTGAAAGCAAATTGTGGACAAAAAGCTGGAGAAAAATGAGGAATTGAAAAATGGTATCATGAAATAAATTTCTAAAAAATAAATATAAAAGAGTAACTGTCTACATTTCTGAGATGAGATATTATGTACACTATTTACATAGTCGGGACTATTGTTGTCATCTTCGTTGTCATATTTATAACTACGTTTCGACCGTTGTACTCCCCGTCCTTTTTCAGATGGTTGGAATGTCGAAATGAACCCTTTACTTTGCTCACTGTGGTAGACTGCTCTAGTTCCACGTGCCATGTCTAATGAATATCAGTTATCAGTTATTATCGCCCGTTTCTTACAACACCGAGCAAAAATCTTAAGTGGCGTCCAGGAGACATTAAATACAGAATTGGTCAGTATAAGTAGTACACTGCAACGTACCAACTACCCTGGGTACATGACAGCAGACCCAAGAAACTGGAATAGGCGGGTACAAGAGGAGGACATCAACACTCAGAAAACAGTCTGCCAGCTTTATGTGAAGGGGTTATCGGAGAAAATACAAAGGATCTGCGGTCCATGTAACATAAGGAAAACCTTCAAAAGCTGGACAAAACTTCGCAGATATCTCTCCCGAGTACGACACCCATAGAGGAGAAGATGCCTAAAGACAGTGTGTACGCCATCGCGTGCAGCTGCGGAAAGAAATATAAAGGGGAGACAGGCCGCCCACTTAACGTAAGGCTTCAAGAACACCAGAAAGCTGTAACACGAGGGGAAATGGAGAAATCAGTCGTGGCTGTCCACATATAGAGAGAAAAGGGAGATCACCGCCCTCTGTGGAACTTAAGGAATCAGCACATATGCTAGGCCACAAAAATCTCCTGAGTCTACTAAGCAGAGAAATTAATACAATATGGGAACTGGTAATAAGGAGTGCAAGAGAAAAGCGACGATAACAAAAAAAATGCAATATTAGCTCTGGTAAAAACATAAAATGATAACAGCAAAAATTTGTAATATGAACACTGGTAAAAAAGGTTGCTGAAGACATTAGGTTTATAATAGCCAGGAATTCATACACAGATGTCCTCAAGGACACATGGCACAGTGGATAAAGGCGTTAGTTAGATCCAATGACAGGACCCAAAAGATTGAGGTTATTCCCCTCTACAAGTTAAAGGGGAATAACTGATAACTGACATCCATTAGACATGGCAGGTGGAACAATGTGCGAAATAAAGGGTTCATTTTGTCATTCCAAGCATTCGGAGCATACAACGGCCTAAACGTTGTGATAAATATGGCAACGAAGATGAGGACAATAGTCCGAATAATGTAAATAGTATTCCAAAATTAATATAACGTGGAGATGTGTTATTCGATGTAGCATGCCCCGCCTCATGGCGTTGGCGACATTAGCCACACAAAAATCCTATCATTTATAGAAGCAAGCAATATCCGTGGCCTTACCTGTTATCGTACTCCCTACTATCCTATAATTTGCACATTTAAATTAAGTATCAAAAATTTACATTTAAATTTATATGTTAGTACCTGTTTCCTTTTACTTACTTGCTTCCAATATGTCTTGGGAATGTCGAATAAGTGAACACTTTTTCCTCGTTATATGTTCTAGAAATTTTATCTGTTTCATTCTACCGCTAATTGCTTATAATTTTCCTTCGTATTTTTATTAACACGTCATTGTTTTTAAAATGTTCCGTCCATGGTCTTTACCTAATTCTCCTCTAGAACCAGATCGTTGTGTCGTTAAATCTCATCTTCGTCCGTGAAAAAATTCTCTAGATTTCTCTACCGTATAAGAGGTCTGATATTTACATAGCAGTTGAGTACTATTTTCTAACGAAATTTTCTCGTTTCTTAATATTTTGTTTCGTGACGACTAAAATCCTTAAGAATCGAGAATGAAAATAAAATATCTTGATGATTAAAAATAATAAAAGGCAAACAATGTACACCTTTTTTTCTGAATAGGACCATAGTGTAGTATCTGTTCTGTCTTCGTACTTCAAGGATGACTAGGATGACTAGTTCTGTGGATTCCAAATTTGACTAACCAGTTAGTGTTGGAGATACCGCCGCTTCATTAACCACTGTGTGTTGGAGATAACGACGCTGTGAATTCATCAGTCTCGGGTCATTTTTGTCTTTGGCCCATATGTACAGCAAAGGACGACCACCCTAAATCAAAATATTTTCAGATTCTACCACCGCAGTGAAGTATTTAAATATCGCATCACGGTGCATTATCAGTTCCATTTCTATACTATTCTTGTACCCAGATGCCGGATTAAGAGTTGTGTTTTTGATTTTGGTAAATTCAAGCACTAGGAAAAGATTCAAAACCAATGTTTATAATTTTTCAGTAGTACGACGCACATTTCACAAGAGACTACCTTAACACAGCTGAATGATCTGAGTACCTTTGATGTTGTGCCATGTATAGAGGTAGGGTTTCTCAATTTAACACTGAACGTATGTCATATCCGATCTTCGTGAACCGATTAAATTAAAAAAGACCTCACATTGAGTTAATATACATTTCTTCGGCTGTGTTTTCGTTTACTGACAGGATCTGACGTTCTTTTCTTTAGATAATATGTAGCAAAACGCATGGTGACTCTGGGCCTGGAAAATAGCAACGTAGATGCGGCATCTCTTTCATAGTTTTAGACAGGTTACAATCTCTCTGTTCTGTTGCATTTCAAAAACTGGCAGGAAATGTCTGACCTTGTCCCGACATACGCGTTTGTGTCCGAACATTAATTTTACTATGCGTCTCATTCTCTCTCAGTTAAACATTGGATGTAACAACATGGGAAATAAGTAAGTGAAATGACTATAATTCTATGTAAACACTACAGACTCCTCTGTTGACTCATAAGGCCACAGCCTCAACACATAAAATGTTACTGGTTTAGTTTCCAAATTAAGTATTATTTTTTTTAATTCAGAGTTGTTCATCTTCAAGATTTGCAACCAGGGCTTATTAAATTCTCGCTTGGGAGGGAGATGTGAATGGATATATTTCGAGTGTTATTTACAATGGCCTCGATTGGAATTTGAACTTGATACATTAATATCATAATATCGTGCTAGTAGCCATTATGCTACGTGCACGTCCTAAACTATAAGATTAGGTGAGAAGATTAATACCAGGGGAAATAAAAAATGCGAAGAGGCGATAAAAAATTTCGAAATATGAGAACGAAATTAAGAATAAAATCTGTAGAAAAAAAAAAGATGACTGAAACTCAGAATAAGTAACAAAGGAATCAAAGAAAGAAGAATAAAAAAAATGAAACACAAAAGCGGAAATGAAAACAAAGCAGAACAAAGAAAAGTAACGCTATTATGAACTTTTTTTTAATAAAGCGAAATTAAGTTTGTACCGAGAGTAAATACTGATTGGTCTAATTTTCTTTTCCGACTATTAATATCACATCGAATGTTGTCTCTTTTATCCCCCATTACAATTCTTTTATACACAGGGTATAAAGATGTAAGTTTCACAACTGAAACGCAAAATAGAGGAAAGGAGATGTAAAAATGATTTTCTTTTTTTTATTATTAACAATAAGTACAATTACTATTATGAGATTCGGCTAAAGTAGCACGGATAGTGTAATCAGCGATCCGAGTTCAAATTCAGATTGAGTTACGTTCTCTTTCGTAGAGATGTGCTTAGAATAGGCATTAATCCTTATCATGACCTGCTAAGGGTTAAATAAAATAGCAGCTCTCTAGTTTGATTGGCAGATGGCTTAAAATGAGGGCTAAGATGGCTTAGATAGACTAGTCTGAATCCAAATCCCTGGAAAAGTCAAAGGTAAACCATTCTAGCATCCTTATCAAGAAGCCCTAACTATTCACAAATGATAAAGAAATGGAATATATGAAAAGCTGTGTTGCCTACGTCCTGAGTGACAGCTTCTGTTAAATTCTCATCAGACAAATCACCATCGTCAACGCAAATCTTTCAATGAAATACAGAATAACATTTTGCCATATTGCGTTTTTTTTAGCGAGCCTCCTTCATATTCAAGGCTTAGAGCCATATTACGTTTAAATACCAGTTCCCGTAAGATGACCGAAGCTAAGCAAGGTGGAACATGGTCAGAATCTAGATGGGTAGGAAATGGAAATTAGTTACAATCCTATATGAGGGTCATTATATTTATTTACGCAAAAAATCATGGGAAAAAACTGAATCCATCTTTTCCTCCCTGCTACGGGTTAATTAGTAAGGTTTGTATCACTAAATCATTATTAACTCCACAAAAAATTCTTACGGTATAGGATTCTGTTTTAAATAATCTGAAAAGTGTTGATATGATACGAATAAAGTATATATATATACTGATGGGTCTGTCTATATTTCTGAGATGAGGTATTATGTACATTATTTACATTATTCGGACTATTGTCCTCATCTTTGTCGCCATATTTTTCACGAGGTTTCGGCTTTTGTACGCTCCGGCCTTCGTCAGGTGGTTGGAATGTCGAACTGAACCCTTTATTTCGATCACTGGGGTAGACTGTTCTAGTTCCACGTACCATGTTTGATGGATGTCAGTTATCAGTTATCTCCTGCTACTTTCCCTCTGTACAGAAAGTCAACATCTCCATCAGATTATCTATTTGAATACTGGTCCGTTATTGAGATCATAGACAAGGAACACCATTAGAAAATTCGTAAACTTAAGGGATCAGCACATATACTAGGCCACAGAAATCTCCTGAGCCGACAAGCATAGAAATAAATACAATATGGGATCCAGTAATAAGAAGTGCCAGAGAAAAGCAATGCTAACAACAAAGTTGCAATATGAGCTCTCGTAAAAACATGCATGATAACAGCAAAATTGCAATATGAGCACTGGTAAAAATGGTTGCTGAGGACATTAGGTTTATAATACCCAGAAATTCATATCCAGTCACAAGGACACATGGTACAGTGGATAAAGGCGTTGGTTAGATCCAGTGACAGGACCCAAAGAGTGTGAGTTCAATACCCGGTTAAGGCTCTGGAGAACTTTGATAATTATCTGTCCATATACGTATTATCTCTTGATCCTTTCCTATTCATTTTTATCCTTCATTTCTTAAGATTATTACCATTTTTATTCTTCCGTTCCATTTTTTGTCTCTTATATTTCGTTTATATCTTAATATCAAGTTCAACATTTGCATATCTTTCTTATTATTATTTATTTTACCTTCCTTCCATTTTTATTATCATTTCTTTTTCTTACCTTTCATATATTTTTTCTACTTTCCCATCCTTTATTTATCATTTCTTATACTTAAAATTATGATTCACATTTATTCTATTTCCCTTTACATTTTGTTTTCATTTATTATTCTTACATTTTTATGATCATTTATTATCCTTCCGGTCCATTTCTTATTATGTTTCCTTTTCTTCAAATTTCTTTCTTATGATCATTCATTATACTTTCATTCTTATTCTTATTACCATTACATAGATTTTCCTTCTCTTTGTTATTATAATTTCTTTCTTTTCTTTATCTTTCTTTTTATCATTTTCGTCCTTCCGTTCTCTTCCACTTATCCTGTCTTTCTATGTTATTATCCTGTTTATCATTATCTTAACTTTCTTGTAATAATTTTTATCCTCCCCTTCTCTTTCTAATTTATCTCTCGTTTTTATTATCATTTTTATCCTTCTTTCCTCTTTCTTATTCTCACGTATTAGTCAAACGTATCGTTTTGTAATTATCATTTTTATCATTTTATTCTGTTTTTGTCATTTATTATACTTCTCTTCTCTTACGTATTGTGATTTTTTATCAATTACTTCTTTCTTATCATCACTTTCTCTTACCATTTTCATGTTTTCCTTTACTTGCTTTTCATTTTCATCCTTTTCTTCACTTTCTTATCATTTTACCCTTTCCTTCTTTTTCTTATGATTTTCACCCTTTTCTTCCCATTTTTATCATTTTCACCCTTTCCTTCACTTTCTTATAATTTACCCCTTCCTTCACCTTTTCCTATCATTTTCACCCCTTTCTTCACTTTCTTATCATTATTCACCTTTTCCTTCACTTTCTTATAATTTTACCCTTTCCTTCATTTTGCTATCATTTTCACCCTTTTCTTCCCTTTCTTAACAATTTCACTCTTTCCTTCACTTACTTAACATTTTAGCCTTTCCTTCTTTTTCTTTTCATTTTCATCCTTTTCTTCACATTCTTATCATTATTCACCCTTTCCTTCTTATCATTTCACACTTTCCTTACTTTTCTTTTCATTTTCATCCTTTTCTTCACTTACTTATCATTATTCACCCTTTCCTTCGATTTCTTATCATTTTACTCTTTCGCTCCTTTTCATATCATTTTCACACTTTTCTTCTTCTTCTTTTTTTTTTTTTTTGACTTATTATCATCTTTTCCGGTCCCTTCTCTTTCTCATCATTTATCATATTTTCAGTGTCTTTCTTATTTTCATTTATTATCCTTTCCTTCTATACCTTATCATTTTTTATTATTCCATTCCCTTCCTTATTAACGCTTTAACCATTTCTTTCTTTTATTTATCATGTGTTATCCTGTCTTTATTATCATTTTCTTACTTTCCTTCTCCTATTATTGCAATTTATCATCCGTTCCACATATCTCTTGTTATCAATGGTATCCTTTTTTCCTACATCTTATCATTATATTTAAGTCGCTTTTTTTAAATTTTCGTTGATAATATTTGGCCTTCTGTTCTCTGAGATTATTCATTTGATATCCTTTTTTTCTCTTTATAATTAGTATTGTCCTCCTTTATTTTACATCCGTTTTCGACCGTTTTTATTCACAATCTCATTCACCATCCTTTCCTTCCCATTTGACTTAATTTCATTTTCTTTGTTTCCCATTCTCATCTTTCTGCATCGTTACATTTTTCGCCAAAAAGTTATCGATTTCACAACAATTCAACTTTGCCTTTTTTCATGCTTTTTTTTTTATAAATGATTTTTCCCGATTAATGGTCTATTTATATATCCCAATTTTTTTTCTATCTACTTATCTTTTATTTCCTTCCTCTTTACATTTTCTTACCTTCTTCCTCTTGTAGCTAGCTATCTACATTTTCCATTCTTCTTTCTTATTTTTAATACTTCCGTCCGTAATTTTCCCTTCAGGAACTTTCCTACGTTCTTATTTACCCACGTTCTTTAGTTTGGATATATATATATATATATATATATATATATATATATATATATATATCCTTTCATATTTCTTCTGTCTTCAGTTTCTTTCATATTTCCGATACCACATTCTTTTTTTTTCTCTTTATCGTCATTAACTTTCATGCACGGATCCCTTCAGGAGACAGCCCCACGCCCTGAAGGCTCACCGTCATGCCTCCTCTGTCTCACGACTTCTGAGAATTAATGGACATTTGTCACGTTGTCTTTGACGCACCGCAAGATTTTCGGCCGATCTCTCTCGAAAGACGCATCCCCGGCGCCAATCACACAAGGAAGTCGTAATTCAAATAAAGCAAACTGATGCTAAACAAAGCGATATTAGAAAGCTATCAGGAGATAGGGACGGTTGTTCGGTGTTGGTGTTAATGCCTGACGTTGAGGGGATATTATCTCATTTACTTCGTCTTCAGTTACACATTCATGCTTTTTGCTGGCACTGACGCCTCCTTGGCGGTATTTCATGCAGCTATGTTTGCACGAACGCGCGGGCGTTGGTTTATGTAGCGATTTCCGCTTTCTTCCTCCTTCATGCTTCGTCATCTTTTCGCTTTATTCAGAAATGGGCCAGGGATTTATAACCTTGTGCGAGCGACTTGCGCAGGGGATAACTCGGGTGTCGGCAAGAATAATAATAAGGTATCGTAGCCATTGCACTGTGACTTTACAATATCAGTGAATAGAGTTAGTGGAACTCTAAGGTAAACGTATCACACGTTTACGCTGGGATTACAAGTATGTAAATATAATCTTACACACAACATATATGTATGCGAGTCTTTATTTGTATACAAGACCGGCGCTAGGGTCTCGCCTACTTCTTGAAATTTCTCTACTACATGTCGATTTCATATATTCCCAACCTGGGGGCCATAAACCTTCGCAAGAAAATTGCCGGGGAAAAGGAGTGTTTTTATTTTTTAAATTACCAAAATTTGGGGAATAATCGAATTTAAATGAATATCTTAGTGCATATTCATTAATTAAGTACTTTTATACTGAATATATTTTTATATTTAAAAAATCAGAAAAAATGTTATTCTTCTTGTAATAATATATTGATTTTTCATGATTAAATTTTTCTCGAAAAAAGTTTATATTGCAAATGTTTATATTTCCATAAAGATTTATCTCTGACGCATCTCCGCTGAAAAAAATATTTTACTAATATTCCAACAAAACACAAATGGGATTTTCCTAAAATTCGTTTTAAAAGCAGTATGTCATTTTTCCGGAAAAATTTTTTGTGTTGGAATCTTTAAACATTTTTTTTTTATTTTTTAAGCGATCATTTTCTCGGTTTAATCTTTCTAGAAATGTGAAAAACGGGGACTAAAAGTCATGTTTTTATATTAATTAATAGCTATGGTCTTCTGGTTAGTATTGTTATTAGTAAAAAACAAAAAAAATCAGAAATCCTCCTTAGTGGATGATCTTGGAATAAAAATGATTTTACCAAGATATATCTCCCTCTTAAGTGATTTAAAATAACTGTTCAGGAAGAAAATTACGATTAAAAAAAAATTAACGCTACTGAAATTAGCACCTCTACCCCACACCTCCCCAGTATGCATGTGGAACACATACATTGAGAGATTCACGGTAGTAAGCACAAGCCGTGTCGATTATTATAGTTGATGATTGACAAGATAACTTAGGTAGAGAAAAAGTAAAAAGTACAAAGAGCCAAAAAACGCGGCTGAAACTCTCCCTTTTTGTGACTCCAACCTCGTCGGGGGTTCCTGCGTAGTACACACCGCATCGATCATGCAGATACACGATTTATATGATTAGTTGATGACTGACAATGTAATGTCAGTTTAAAAATCATTTAAAAATGGCGGATGGCAATGAATCAATCCTGAAAAAAATGGCGGATGACACAACCGGACCCAAAAAGACACGGCATCCCCAGTCGTGGGTTTCGCCAGTAAGACTTTGGTTGAATTCTGATGTGATGGATAATACAGACATGAACGCTCAAGCATGAGTATGGCATTTAACTGATTGACTTATTACTGTTGTTGTTGTGGTTGTTAGTGGTGACTTTTTTGCGTAATGACCACATAAGCAAAATAAATTTAAAATTAGTCTGTACATTATGCAGCCATATATATATATATATATATATATATATATATATATATATATATATATATATATATATATATATATATTTATGTATGTATAAGCATACATTATTATTAAATATAACAGAAAATGAATGGCGATTATTCTAAGAAAAAATATACCCATGTACATTATGTTAGAGAGTTTTTAGTTGATAACACAATAATACTCACACAGGCGCACAGTAAAAAGAACCTTCAGATATTCGAGGCCATCGACATTAAAACGAAGCAACCAACATTCAACAAAATTACATTTCTAACTCGTCACAACACATTACATTGCATCTAGACATTGGTTCTCTTGTAATACTTCGGTCTGTCGCGTGGTGAGACGTCGCAGAACCGCATTTTGAACTTAAGATCTGCATCGGATATTCCGCGAACGTTAACGTCGCATAGCAATCTTTTATATCAAAATAAAATAAAATATATCATATTTGACGGTGAATATCATTATTTCATGTCCGTATAACCACTCTGAGGATGGCTCATGTGACCAAAAGTTTATAACCAACTTAATAAAAAAAATAGCCAAATGCTGAACAACTTTTGTCATTATTTTCAGTAGAAATTAAAGCAAACATTCGAACATGACCGGACATAATAGACATTCATTGTTAGTTATATTTAATAACGTATAATGACCTGCTGCCCTAATGCACAATATATATATATATATATATATATATATATATATATATATATATATATATAGTTGGATTGATGTGAGTGTGTTACCCTGCGTTTCACGTTATTTGCGATCGTCAGTCAAACTCGTCTGACGATCGCAGATGGCGAGAAACTCAGGATTACAAACTCATATCAATCCAACTAAATATGTTAACTTTATCACTGATATTGAGCGCTTTCAAAAATAACTACCACGAATATAAAATATATAAATAATGTATATATATATATATATATATATATATATATACACTTTTACATATATATTTGTATATATATTCGCTTTTATATATATATATATATATATATATATATATATATATATATATTTCTTTATGTTATTTTTATAGATATAATTTATTTAAGTAAATGGACTGATTTTTTATTACATTTGCCGACCTGAATGTGCAAGAGATTTCGTAGAAAATATGTTTTCTCCTCTTTTCCTAATTAATTAATTATTTTTATCATTAAAAATAGAATATTTTTTTAATAAAAAAAAATTACCCAATAAAAATAACATACAAACATAATATGTAAAATATAAAACATGTATGTAGATATGTATATGGGTGTGTGTTTTGTATGTCTGTGCGCGCTCGTTTGGGAATTCAATCAAAAAGAAAGTAATATCTGTAAAGCGAATATAAATAAAAGGCAATAGGAAAAAACTTCTTTAGCAACTCGTTTCGTCCTTTAAGGAATTTTATCAAGGTAAAGCTTGAGATTTTATTTCTTAACTTCGTACTTTTACACAGATGTAACGTCGACGAAAAATATTGTTAGAGTTCCAAATTTTGTATTTAAAACACTCTAAAATATACTTAACGCTTGCCCTGTATGAAAAGGTAATCTTTGGAGGATGTTAATTTATGTAAATTTTTGCCTAATAAGTAAATACAAATTAAACAACATTTAAGGACTTTCCTTTATTAAACAATAAATTATATCACTTAACATCCTCCATAGTTTGTTTTTCCTTTTAAAGATGAATTGATATGTTTATCCCGACTTAACACTTTTCAAGGTTACTAAAAACTAGAAAATGTTTTTTTAGCGAAGATAAACACAATAAACCTTACAGATAATCGAACTTTCCAATTCCGAGCCTTTATCGATTGTCTTGGATGTGCACATCCAAGATTGCACCATCTGGTATTCCCAAGTGGGCACCAGACTTAGTGTAAATTTGTTGATAACTGGTCTTTCAAACTAATGTAGCTGTAACCCATCTTGACACAGAAGTCTTTAACAATATATTTACTTTTATAGATAACGTTCCTGAAGTGACGAAACGCGTTGGTGAAGACGTGTTTTCCTTTTGTCTTTTTGATATTATCTCTGTATATGTTTATATATAGTTTTCGAAACCATAGTGTAATTTCCCGTCTTTGTCACGTTCCCTGTTTCATTTTGAGATTCAGATTATGTATCTCATATTATTTAAAGACCGACATTGGTGTGCTACAACTGACAGCGTGTGGCCTTGCGCTTCTCCCACGAGTGACGGCCTTACGCACCACTCGTAGACCCGAACCAGCTGGGCGTCACTGCATTCCATCGATAGGTCCTAGAGACAGGCATTTCTTGCGTGAAAGTCTTGTCAGAATCGACCTTCAGCCGATTATACACTGACAGCCGTGTGCACATTACTTGTTTAGGAGGTTTCTGTTCCAGGTTGGAGGTCCGTACGCTGCGTGACTACGTTGTCAGAGAGGGGAAAAAAAGACAAGTGATAAGCAATGTACCAGTAGAAAGGCGAAAGTTAAAATTGGGTATTGCATGGCAGGAGATATGTTCAGGGCTGTAATAATTACCGTCGGATGATATATCAAAGACTTCAAAAGAACCTTTGATAGAGCGTTATAAGGACACACGAGCCCATGTGCACGTACGCTTGTATTTATTTAGCGGCAGCATTGATAATCCTTTATGTGTTTGAGTAGAAAGGCATATATATATATATATATATATATATATATATATATATATATATATATATATATATATATATGCATGTATATGTATGTATGTATACGTTAATATCAGTTTAAGATAATATATAGAGAGGTATATTCATATGAAAATTTATAATAAGTTGTATGTGTCTATAAAAAGGATCATAGAGAGTTATACGCACACTCACACACACACACACACATATATATATATATATATATGTGTGTGTAGTTGTGTAGAATGAGAGAAAGGTAGACAATTAGAGTGATCGAATGAACAAATATATATATATATATATATATGAACAATATATGTATAAGCACATAAAAAGAAATATACGAATATATATATATATATATATATATATATATATATATATACGTGTGCATGTGAGTGTTTAGATATT